TCAACTCCCAGAATTCCCCAGCCAGCGAATGCTGGCTGGGGAATTCTGGGAGTTGAATCCAGACATCTTCAAGTTGCCAAGGTTGAGAAACACTGCCCTAGGGTTATGTTATCACCTTTTGTGACCTGACAAGCAAAATCAACGAGGAATCCCGATTCACATAACAGCCATGTTAACCATCTTAACAGCAATTCAGTTAACAGTGCCAAGAAAGGTCGTAAAATGGATTAAAAATTCATTTAACTGTCTCAGCAACAGAAAGTTTGGACTCATTTGTTGTAAGTTAAGGAAAACCTGTAACCAATGGGTACATGAGTTTTACATTTTCAATAAACTGTGTTAGATATAATTTAGTTTATCTGGGGTTTTCTTGTGGGTGAAACTCTTAAAAACTCATACTTAGCAGTTTGAAAAATTTCTTGACTTTATTTGTAGCTAAACCACATAAATATCTTTCAAATGCTAGTTACACCAGCAGCTCATACAGACTTAAATCTTTCTTAAAATATAGAAGAGACCTTGGCTGCAACTGATCTTGAAAAAGCATTTGCAATCGTTAGATTTTATAATGTAGTTCTGTCTCCAATTTTTAAAATGATTTTCATTTGATTTATATTATTAGACAATTAGGGTTAAAAAAAATAGTATTAGTATTTAAAAAAAAATCCCATAAGCAGATACGACATTTTAGCCACCCAGAGTCCTTTCTGTGAGATGGATGGCCTACACATTCATTAAATAACTAAATAAATTCTAAAACATTTTAAGTATTGTGGTATTTCTCTGAAACAGATCACTTACTTCGGCAGCCCTTTAATGCAAGCAGACAAGTCTTTTGTCATGAAACCAGCTTCAATAGTCTCTACACAGACCTCCTCCAAGGCTGAAGCAAAATTCTGGAGGTCTTTGTTGTTATCTAATTTTGCTCTATGAGCTAGACCTCTGGTCCAGGCAAAGATGGATGCTAGGAAGAGAGGAAGAGAGAACTCAATTAACAACACTGTTCAAATAGACATCTCTATTGCCTACATTTCCCCCCTATACTCTCAGTCTAAACTAGAACCTAACAGTCTATGTTGATTGTTCAGTTTGACTATTTTTTTCCCCATGTGTAAATGTGTTTTATTTTCCATTTTCATTTTCGTACAGTCACA